AGCCTCACTCCCAGTGCTGCCACTGCCTGCCCCAAGTGCAGCCCTGGCCCAGCCCCCTCACCAGGAAGAGCCTGGTGCCACCCCCAGCCCACAGCAGGCAGCCCACCCTCGCCCCACACACAGATCTGGAGGGCAAATACCCCCCCTGCCTCCCCTGGGGGTGCATGCAGTGCTAGGACCTGTGCCCCTTCCCCATGCCCCAGACAAGCTGCTCACAGCTTCATCCTGCACCCTGCCCTGGCTGGGCAGCACCTTCTCCTGCCCCAGCATATGGCTTGTTAATAATTGAGAAGCAGTATAGGCCCAAAAAATCTTTAGCGGTGCACCCCTACTTTCTCCTTACCTAGAGAATTGCTCGAATCAAATCAAGAAGTTGCAATGAAGAAAAGCATTAATAAAAATAATTTTAAATATGCAAGCTAAGCCAAAGTCCATTATGCACTTTCCTCTCTTCGCTACCACCACACTACATATTAGATGTACCAATGCCATCATTCTGTGTAAAGTACAGAGATCTTTTAAGTTTTCAGATTACATGGGTATAATTTTGTTATTTACTACCTTCTGACTTAATTATCAAATTAATTCTCTCTCAGCATTTTATCTTATAAAATAAATTCTTAGAGCATGCTGTAATTGGACTTTCCTTGCAGAGATGTCTCATATAGCAGAAATTTCATTTAGTAGGTATTTGACTGACATCTGTTTAGTTAAGAGCTGTTGTTGAGCTTTACAGGGGCTCTTTGCTCCTTGCCTTAAAAAGGCAGCCCCTTTTCAGCATGTGGATGCAAATCCTGTAGCAGATTTTAAGAGAAATATCAATGCAGGCCCAAATTGTATAGATCAGAACCATTTGGACCAAGTGCTCCTGGTAGAAATAACCCAAATTTTACTGACATTTTATGACATTTCTTTGACCTTTGGTCAGCACTGGCTTAATCTTTCACCAGTACATTGCATGGGGGATTTAAAATCAAAACTCACTTGTCTTAATGGGTATAGTTCTTCAAGTAAATTCCCTCAGGGAATAAGAGCAGTGACTTTGAATTCTGATGCTTGTATTATGTTTTTAATCAACACTCAAACCTCTGATTTATTTTTAGGTGAGACAGTTGAGTGACTATTTCAACATTTACACCTTTTCCTTAAAGAAACGCATTTAGGGATGAAGTCTTCGCTGTGACCAGGACATGAAACACTACCATGGGGCTTCTTAGGAGCATTTATCTGATAAACGGTGCAATTCCATTGATTAAAATATTGAACTATAATGGACCAGATATTCAAAACCCTGCAATACTGAGCTATGGAGCAGGGTTTTTAATATAAGAGAATTCTAGTTGAGAAATTAAACTCTTAGTCACTCTGCTGCTAACTTAACTTTTCTACCTATTCAGACCAAAGCACTTCCTTATTTAAGTCCTTACTCCTTCTCTTGTTTGCTCAAGGCAATGGGGGTCACCCTTCTTATCAGGCATGCCACAGAATTAGCCCCACACCCTCCCTGAGGGCACTCCAGCCCCCTTCCTTTATCCAAACTGCTGCTCTGCTTTCTGCTCACTACTCTCTGCTCCATGATCAATCTCCTAATCTGCTTTCTGCTTCCTGCCCTCTACTCCCTGCCTGATCTACTCCTTTGCCTTCAGCTTCCTGCCCTATCTGTTACTGTACTGCCTGATTCTCCCCCACTCCCCCTCCCGATCTGTCATGTGCCACACACAGGCTAGCCATGCTACCTGTGACAAAGTGCCACAGATTGGCCATCTGTGGCTCAAGGTATCATGTTTCAACTTCTTTGTTTCTACCTCCAAAGTCATGCACACATCACCCTTAATTTAAGTAATTTAAATTGAAGCAGTGCCTTCTTTTTATCCTAGTATGTTCCTCAATGAAGCCACATTTAATGTCAACTAGATATCCTTCCTCCCCACTCACATCCCCATGCCTGCTTCACTGATGCCCCATTTATATGGATTTCCTGACATGAGAGCCACAATCCACGTCTGTTTCCCTCGCCAAGTTTAACTTCTCTCACATTACCCAAAAGGTTAACCCTGGTGCAATGTCTGCTCTCTCTCACATTCACTAGTATAGAAGAGATGAGATCAGGAAATGAATTACAACCCAACCAAAACCCTCCCAATCCCATACCCTTTTTCTTGTCTCCCAGTAAGCCTGGTCTAATGTATGTCTATCAGGCCACAGGTTCCACATGTCAGCAATTGTCTTTATATCTTTTGTAGCAGACAGAATCAGTACTTAACTAAGTAAACAAGCATTTTATCCCATTATAAGAGAATATAAGAATAAATTTGTCCACCACAAACTTTTGAAGATTCTTTAATCTCACTGTTAAGATAAAACGCAGCTGGTAACTGGGCATATGTATCTCAGAGCCACAAAGCAAGTAGTAAAAAGTGAGCCAGTCACATTTTGTGTTAGTTAATCAATCCTGTTTTTTAGCTGCAGCGCTTGGAAGAAATTGGTTTGTGGTTCAAATGTCAGTCCATGTACACTCTAATAGAAGATGGCTTGACCTGTTTTTCAGACCTAGATCATTCCTAACAGGTACTCTCTCACAAAGTGATATAACCTGCATGTGACCTCAAAGGGCAAGATTGAGTCCAGTTTTCTCATCCTCCACAGGGGAATGTCTCATTATCTTTACAACAACAGAAATTAGGTATTAGCAATGATGAAAAAATCCAAGTATATTACATATTTTGATTAGGCTTCTCTTATCAATCTGTCATATCAGAATCAGCAAGAGTCCAGGATGGTAGAGATAGTCTGACTTTAGCCAAAGAGCACAAAGCTTTCTATAATCCCAAATTTTGATGTTGTTTGGGTTCCAGCAGTCTGTATTTGTAGATTTGGAAGCCAGGGGTTTTAGTATCATCTATTTATGAGTTTGCAGTTTATCTGGCCAGTGTGCCATGGTTGAATCAGTGACTTGGTTAAACTTATTCTTTAAGTGTATGGAATGACAAATCCCGTTCCTTCCAAATCTACATGGAGATAAAAGATGCTGGTTTGATTGCCTCAGGGCTTTTTTGAAGACTAAGGAACTACTGGGTGTCCAGAACAGGATTCCAATGATGCCTAAAGCCACCCCTGCTAGATTAACCCCAGATCAAAAGGTTATTTAATGAGAGACGCAAGAAAGGCACCCTGTAATTAATAAACTGAAGTTTGACAGTTTAATTTGGACTACATCTGAAGTTTCATTCTTTGACAGAATTGTATACTAAATTCAAATACTATATACACTAGACTATATTCCTCTTACCTGCTTTGATACCTATATTTATTTTTGAAAATTTCTGGAATATAATAGGAAATATCTAAAAAATACTTTTGTAAATGAAAAGAAGGTTGTACTTTACTCCAAGTACAGTATTTGAAGTGTAGGTTAAAAGCCTACGCTTCCTTTTTATTTATAAACAGTTGGAAATGTGTGCGCATAGAATGGCTTCGTTAGGTGTTTTGTATTTTAGTGAACTATTCCAAGGTACACGGATAGAAAACTTGAAATGCCAGAAGCTGAAATGCCAAACGCATGCCACACATTTGTAATATAAATGAATGTCTTATAGTATTGTTTAGTGTGGAATGTAATATATACAACTGTTATGTCCGCTATTTTTTTTAATCAATGAGATTTGTCAGACATAAGTTGAAATATAAATGTGGATAATGTATTGTACATTGCATTGTACAATGAAATATACTGCATTGTCAGAAGATGTTGGGGAAAATAAATCAACTGTGATTCAACAAAACAGAATAAAGTGTCTTTTGTTCAAAGGACAGCATGATCACTGATTGGCTTTTTTGCAAAGTCTGCTGAGAATTATGGAGAAGAAAAATTGGTTTCCCTTCAATAAATGCCTTTTCCCCCATTCATCTGTGCTATACATAGTAATTTTCACAATCATTTTCAAATGAAAATGTGATTGAAATTTACATGTTTTTCATTGTAGAGCATAAAACAGCAGAGATTTGCTCACTCACTTTTCCAGTGAAAGGCATCTATCAAAAGAATGAGCTCGCTGAAGCAATTCACTTATGGTTGGACAGTGGGGTCATTCAGGTTTCTGTCCACCTTTTTGGCTTTAAGTTCTCCTTTCCCACTGAAATCTGCTCATCTAAGAATCTCTGTGGGTGCTTTGTGCACATTCTGAACTGTCCTCATGCTGAGGGTTCGAAGCAATCACACAGCTTCAGAAAAGAAAAAGGCAAACCTCTAAGCAGAGGTCAGGAATGATTTAGATTCAATCCTTTGCTCTTCTGAGAAGGAAAGCATACACTTACAGCCCTATTCCTGGAGGCTTAGACCAAGTATTAGAAGAACATTTCCTACAGTACACCAAGGCTATGAACAGACACTGCACTTGTCCCTGGACAAATTATGCCTGTGTTTATTCTGGAACAGCAATATCCTGGAATCAGTGTATACACACATTGCCCTTCTGATCAGGGATTAGTGAGCAGCTGAATGCTATCCACTTTTCTGCCATTGATTCAATGACATAATTGCAGGATAACAGTTCAGATACACTTTGCAGTGTCTCAGGATAAACCGTTAGTACTTCTTATCCCATGAACTTTTTACGATTTATCCTGGGACAAAGGACACGGATATCTGAATGACTGCATTTTGTCCTGGGATAATATGCCTCATCCCAGAACAAATGCAACATCTGTTTGTAGTCTGAGTCAGAGCCATGGAGTTGGCTTTGATGTATTCCTGTACACAAAGCAAGTATTTCTGTTGTCAATGTAAATAATTTTTAGATGTTGAAGTCTTAATGCTAAGCCTCTCCATCAAAGGTCCATTTGGATCTTCTCTATCTTTCTTGCACTATTAGCATTCCCTTTTTGGACCTTCTCTGCACCTGCTAGTTTCTTCAAATGTTGCTGTTGCTTTTCCTCCAAACCAAAACTAGACATTTAGCACTCTGAGATTGGAAAGATTTGACCAAAAAGACGAATCATAATTTTTTTTTTGTATTTTCATTCATCTTATTGTATGATCTGTGGAAGAGTGATACAATCACTGTGTTCTTGAAAAGCAATTCCTACATACATAAGTAAATGAACTATATTTTGTTTTAAACTGTTTGCCTTTTCTTCTCTTCTCCGACAGGTGATTAATGATTTTTGTTTAATATATATTTAAAAACAGAAATGTACCAATTTAAACTCCTTTGAATAGTCTGTAGAGTTAGACAGATTTTAACATATATTTTTTTATTAAATATGTAAAAAGATAAACGCAAGTCAAGTTATTCACATATTCAGAGACAAAAAAAATCTACTCTACCATGCGACAATTTGTGGGTAATGTAAAATGATACCAATACATCTGAATAAGACTTTTTGCATCTATTATGTCATTACTTATCTATTTATAATTAACAATACATATGTTTACATTCCTTTCAGTTTACATTTAATATATAACCAAAGCTTTATGGTGTGCTATTTAGTAAAAGTAATTACAAATGCATATTAAAACCATAACGGA